TGGGTATACAAATATATCTTTGAGAGCTTGCTTTCAGTTCTTTGAGTATAAAACCATGCTGTATCATATGGTAATTCTGTTTAATTTTTTGAGGATGTGTCATACTGTTTTCTTTTTGCTACACCATTTTACATCCCCATCAACAGTGTACAAGGGTTCCAATTTCTCCACACTTGTTATTTTCTGTTTTGTTTGGTTTTGTTTTATAGCAACCATCCTTTTAAAAAAAAAAAAGATTTTATTTATTCAACAGAGAAAAACAGTGTGAGAGGGAACACAAGCAGGGAGAGTGGGAAAGGGAACAGCAGGCTTCCCACTGAGCAGGGAGCCCAATGTGGGCCTTGATCCCAGGACCCTGGAATCATGACGCGAGCCAAAGGCAGATGTTTAATGACCGAGCCACCCAGGAACCCCTACAGCAACCATCCTAATGGCCATGGGGTGGTTTTCTCTTATTTTTGAAGGACAGTATTGTGTGGTGTAAAATTTGTAGTTGGAAGTTTTCTTTCACACTTTAAATACATCATCTTACTCCCTTATAGACTCCGAGGTTTCTCCTGAGAAATTGACTGATAATCTTATTGAGGATCCCTTGTATGGGACAAGCCACCTTTCTCTTGCTGCTTTCCATTCCGTCTTTGTCTTTCTATGATCTGATTATAATGTATGTTGCTATGGATCTCTTGAAGTTTATCCTACTTGGAGTTTAAATTTTCAATTTTTAGATTCATGTCTTTCTTCAGATTTGGGTAGTTTTGGCTGTTATTTCTTCAGATAATCTCTTCCTCTTTGTCTCTTCCTCTGGTACTCCCATATAAATATATTTGTCCTCTTGATTATATTCCATAAGGCCCTTAAGAGGTTTATTTCCTTCATTCTTTTTGCTCCTCAATGTAATTTCTAATGTACTACCTTCAAGTCTGCACACTTGTCTGCATGCTCAAATCTGTTGTTGAACCCTCAGTGAAATTTTTGGTTAAATTATCCTTTCTCAGCTGCAAAATTTGTTTGGGTCCTTTTTATTTCTATCTCTTTGTTACTGTTCTCATTTTGATTGTTTTCCTAACTTCCTTTAGTGTTTTGTCATTTTTCCTTTAACTCTTTGAGCAAATTTCATAGTTATTTTGAAGTCTTTATTTAGTAAGTCTGATGCTTGCATTTCCTCAGGGAAGTATCCTACCACTTCATTTGCTTTTTTTGAATGGGCCGGGTTATCCTTCTTGTGATTTTTTTGGTTGAAAATTGGGCAGGAGAAAAACAGCCACTTCTTCCAGTCTTTGCAGACTGAGTCTGTGTCAGTTTATTCTTTACTAATTAGTAGGATATGTCTGAGCTTTGGGATCAAAGGAGAAAGCAAAGTCTTCAGGTGTTTTGGCATGCATTCACCTGGGTGTGCACCATTTCCCCCTATACACATTGCCCTTATGTCTTAATTTCCCAGTTTCACTCCAATTTCTCCTTGGGGCCTTAGATGGTCTATTGTATGTCTCTACCCACAATGTCCTGCCCCAGGTGTATCTGTGTCATAATCTCTCTATAGATTTTACAAGTAGTTCCTGCCACTTTATGCTGCATTTCCTCTGGAGAACTCCAATTATGGGAAAAAGAAATGAGTCCTTCACGCAGTCCTCAGACAAGTCAGAACAGTGCAAATAAAGTTTGCTCTGTTCCCTTTAGTTTGAGGTGGAGGAGGGTATTGGAAAATGGGCTGCTGCTTCCTCCAGATCAAGACTGCCCAGAAGTGGAGGGACAAGATGAGCAAAACTTTCATGAATTTTCCTACCATGACCCTGGGATCATGACCTGAGCCAAAGGCAGACGCTTAACCAACTGAGCCACCCAGGCGTCCCCAAATGGAGTCATCTTAGATGCATATTGCTACGTGAAAAATCCAACCTGCAAAGACCACATACTGTACGATTCCAACTGTATGACACTCTGAGAAAGGCAAAGCTGTGGAGACAGTAAAAATATCAGTGACTGAAAGGGATTTGGAGGAAGGGAGGGGATGAAAGGTGGAGCACAGGGTGTTTTCAGGGCACTGAAAATATTCTGATGATACTATAATGGCTGAATACATGTATTTGCCAAAACCCCCTCCTATCTATGCATTACTGCACTTTCTAATGTACAACAGAGTGAACCCTAATATAAACTATGAACTTTAGGTAGTAAAAATTTATCAACACTGGCTCATCAAATGTAATGAGTATACCACACTAATGCACGATGTGAATAACAGGGGAACCTTTGGAGGGGGCAAGGGCCTGCATCGGAATTCCCTATACTTTCTGTTCAATTTCTCTGTAAACCTCCTTGAAAAACTTTTTTTTTTTTGTTAAGTGCAAAGGATTTCAATGAACATTCCTTCAAAGAACATATAAAAGTGGCCAGTAAGGACACGAAAAGATGCTCAGCTTTAATAGCCATTAGGGAATTACAAATGAAAACCACAATGAGAGAGCACTTCACACCCCCATACTGTAACTTTTTAGAAAAAGATTTTATTTATTTAGAGAGTTCGCATGGGAGGGCGAGAGGCAGGAGAGGAAGAATCTCAAGCAGACCCCCCACTGAGCATGGAGCCCAATGTGGGGCTCAATCCCACGACCCTATTATCATGATCTGAGTCAAAATCCAGAGTCTGACACTTAACCAACTGAACCACCCAGGTGCCCTCATACTGTAACTTTTAAGCAAAAGGGGGCAAGGGAAATATTTGGGTAAACCTCTAACTGGGAATCAATTTTTTAAGAGTTCAACTGTACTATCTTCTTGATAGATAACTAAAAAATCTTCCTGTGTGAAAAACTAGGGCTTTCCCCTTAAAAAAAAAAAAGCAAACTGAGATTCTAGGAAAGCCCGGAATAACAAAGGGAGACTGGTCGACCTAAAAATATATCTAGCTACAGTGACGGAGCCCTACACTGGCAACAGTTCTCAAAACTCTGCCTTCCTCACATGCCTGACCTAGATCCCCTTAGAGCTGCCCCTCCTAGGGTGACCAGACACTGGGAGTCAGCCTCTGTACGGGGACATAATTCAACTGTCAAGAACACATTCCGTAACATGCACAAAGGTCAAGGACAACAAACACATGGATGTGCTTTCTTCTTTTTAAAGAATACAATAGTCATAGGGTCAAAGATGAAAACCACACAGAAGGATATAAAATGAAAAGATTCCCAGGCTCCCCCGCTCTCCTTCCCAGATGGGATACTGATTACATTTCCTGTGCAAATTATCTTATTTCTGAAATGTTATTAATATGACAGAAATATTGGAGCGCCTGGGTGGCTCAGTGGGTTAAGCCTCTGCCTTCGGCCCAGGTCATGGTCTCAGGGTCCTGGGATCAAGCCCCACATCGGGCTCTCTGCTCGGCAGGGAGTCTGCTTCCCCCTCTCTCTCTGTTTCTCTGCCTACTTGTGATCTCTGTCAAATAAAATAAATAAAATCTTAAAAAAATATATGACAGGAATATTATGCAGAATATGTTTCTTCTAAGTCTTCCAGAGCCTGCCTGCCTTCATCAGAAATGGAGGTTAAATTCAGGTCCCAAGTATTGAAACTTGAAATTTTCCTGCAATCTAAAACAGATTTCAGACCTAAATAGATTCGATTTCTTTTTTTAATAAAAAATTCACACATTTTACCTTTTAAGTCAGATTTTATTTCTATTCATGGCAAAACAAACTCTTCAAATATTTATAAAAATACCAAAAGTTGGCAGTCACTTGGAAACAATTTATTATTAACTAGATTAATCCATTAAGAAAATGCACTGAATACACTCAAGGTTAAAATGAAACAGTGACACGGGTTCAATGCCTTGACAAATAAATCAACAGTTCCTGGTAAAACTCCCAATACCGAAGAGAAGTTTAAAAACAAATGCCCTTCGAATTCTAGTTTTGTGCCTGTAAACAGGTCTCAGCTGATCCTCAGTGATAAGCTTAACGACCACATCACTGTGACTGGCAGGGTTGGGGGTGGTTGAAATAATCTTGTAATTACAAGGGCGTGGGAAGTAATCCAATTAACAGCACCAAAAAATACGTAATCTCACAATAAAAGGAGCACTGATTTGAAAAATTAATGTCTGTGGGCATTTTCTTCCCCAAATGGGGGGGTAGAGCAAATGTGGGCAATTACTGTTCAGCAATATTCCCATGACCTAAGGCAACCACCCGTCTGGGGCTACTGAACTCTCCAAACCTCGGTATCAGCAAGCTCCTCACATGGTCCTTCTCCCAGGACCCGGAACTGGAGCGCTGAGGCCACTGCCACCGCCAACAAGCTCCAATTCTCATTACCAGGCTCTACTCCTTCATATCCGGTCCCTATCTGTGCCCCCTCTAATGACGCAACAACCCACCCCTGCGCTAGCACAGCCCACCTGGCCTCGGGGTGGGCAGGAGACGCACACGGTCCTAAAGGCAGCCGGCGCTGGACTTCTGTCACCGCTGTCCGCGGCCTGCTGTGCGGCTCGTCCACTGGAACCAGGGGACACCCTAACCTTGCAGACTAAGTAGTGAACTCGTGAACAACAGCCTGCCAGGCCTCTCTTCTCTTATCCTTGCTGTTCTCGAGGAAGAGATTCCTCTCCGTGAGCCAAGTCCAGCGGCTCATTCCAACCTACAGCTACGACGTGTGGCTCCGGGAGTGTCTGGCCATCTGCCCGGATTCTCCCCGCTCGGCCCCCCACAACGGCACTCAGCGCCCCTGTCGGGAAGCGCCGAGAGCAGCAGATGACGCGACTAGGACACGGCCCATCATAGGCGACACAAGCAGTCCTCCTGCTGCGTATGGGGCCTGGCCACGACGATGGCAAAGGCCACAGAAGAGACATTTTTACCACGGGGGGTTGCACGGTCACCGTCCTGACTCTGTCCGCCTCCCTTCAGCCTCCGTCGGTCTTCACCACGCTGCGTCTCCCGGAGGCACGAGGACCTCTTCCAAGCTTGCTTTTGTGGTTTCTCCGGCCAACCGGGCAGCCAGGCCGGCTGGGACGGAGGGTGAAACCCTGAGCAAGTCTCTGGGAGGCCGGGAACCGGCTGCTGACTTCTCAGGGTCTTGAGGCGGCCAGGCCGGCCGAGCCCCTCTACGCGGCGTCCTCGTCATCCCCCGCCACGTCGTCCGGGTTCCTCTTCCGCTCGGCCTCCGGCCCCGCGGGCAGAACGCTGGTCACGGTGTGGAGAAGAGCCTCGATCTGCTCCTCCGTGAGCCGCTCTTCACTCTCCTCCACCATCTGCAGAAGGAGACCTCGGAGGGTTACGGTCAAGCCGCACAGGCCAAGTCCGGCCCGCCTTCCCCACCCACGCCGGTCCCAGTCCGCTGCCCTCCGGCGCGCCGAGCTCGGGGCCTGGCTCCAGAGCCCCCTCGGGGCTCTCAGTCCTCTCCGTCCTGGTGGGAGGGAGGGAGAAGCCGACTCAAGTGCCTAAGCCACCGCTCAAAATGGGTCGAGGCAAAAAGCGAGCTGCAGGTGAGCACTTTTCCTCAAAGAAACAGAAAACTCTACCAGTCCTACACCCACCCACATGCACACGTGAGTCTGCTGTATGTGCCAAGAAAACCCACCTCTGGCAAGTGAAATGGCCCTTTACATACTTCCGGATTTCACAAGCACAGCTGAACTCAGGAATCCTACCAGCAACTCATCTGATGGTGGCCCACTGCGTGCCAATGGCTCCTCTGCTTCTCCGCATCCCCACTCCCACCACCAGCAGCTCTTCCGGGAGCTCCCGTGCTTGACCGCACACAGCACTTCCCGTCTGGTACTTCTCTCAACCCTCCCAACAATCCCGGCCAAGGAGAGGATGGAAATCCCAAGCCAGGCCTGCCCGACACTTACCACCTACGATCAACCTAACACACGCCATGTGGCCCTGGTCCTCTCCTGGGAATGTGGAGCAGGAGTCTGACGAGTGACGGCTGGGGAATGACCCCCGCTGTCTCACTAAATTAGGTCCACTTAGAGCCCATCTTGACACGTCCTGGAAATCTACACACCAACGACCCACAATTATGAGCCAGTTTTCTTAGCCTCACCTCTAGTTCTCCGTATATTAACGAATACAAACACAGTCAACAATGTTTTTAAGAGTAACACACCGGCAGGCAAAGTACTAACCCATGTTCCCTCAGTGGCACCAGTCATCTATCACAAACAGCTAGACGTGTCCAGGGTTCTGTTCTGCGGCATTTCCCAAAGCAACTCTGAAATCTGCCAACTAAGACCAAGAGGAATTCCGTGAAGAAATCCTAGCAGATTTAAGTAAAACAAACGACAAGCTAGGCTTACAACCATGAAAAGGATTTCAGTCTATCTCACTTCAGACGACAGCAGAGAAGCTGATCAGATCAGGTAATGTGTCCAAGATCACATCACAAACTCCTGGCAAACCACTGGTCTCTTCAAGTTTCTACGACCAGAGAATAATACTGAGTGTTCTAGAGTGGGAGATCCTGAGTGAACCAACGGGACTGCAGTCATATAAAAAGACCATTTCCTAAAGATTCAAAGGCTCCGTAAAATGTAAGCTCTATTGAACAAGAAATGATCCTCAAAAATCCATTTTTTAAACCAGACATATAAAATTAGGGTGTGTAAAAGGAAGTAATCTAACACAGACGGTCTCCAAAATATGAAGGAGTTGGAAAGGGGTACATCCGATTTGATTATTTAATCTTAAGAAAAGATGGTCTCCACGGAGAGAGGAATGTCTCCAAATTCGTGACCTGGCACGTGCATTTAGTTCGGAACTGCTCCCCAGCTCGGGGGAAGCGGGCAGGGAGGTTAAGACGGCTCTGGGACGCTGACAACCTCCCAGCAGTACTCGTGTGGGGCTTTCCCACAGTCACCACCCAGCACGCGGCCGTCCACTGTTGCGTAAGTGCGGGCTCAGCATTACGAAGAAAACCCAACCTGGGCCTTACAGCAAGTAGTGCAAGGTCTTGTGACTTTGGATTCCAGCTCTTTCTAGAGTCCACGGTTTGAAAGAATTTAGTTATATGACTTCTGAGAAGCCTTCATTTTTAGAAGACCAAATAGAGAAGACTTGACCAGGCCACCTTCCTGCATCCCCTCCTCTGGTCTGGCAGATGCAGCGATGGTCAGGCGTCAGCTAATGTGTTCCCGGTGAGAGCGCCAAAGAACAGAAGGTTTCATCAGCACACACTTCTCGGGTCACAAAGTTTTCACACTAAGATTCCCAGTCACAGCAAGAAAACCCAAACCTCATTAAGCAAAATGAAACACATAGACACAAAAAGAAACTCTCAGAAACCAAAAACTCCTCTTGGATCAAGACAAAATGATACGAACAATATCACTCATCACCTTTTCCTCCCAACACAGAGGAAACTGAGGCCAAAATAAGGAAACGCAAAGCACCATCTCAACATCTAAACGCTGAGGTTTCAAGTTGTTCTGAATATAAGGGCGAATGAATGTGAAAATCCCAAGTATTTGCAGATGGGTAAAAAAGAAAGTTTTATCACATACAAATTCCTAGGGGCTGTCAAACTGGCCTGCTATACTCCAAAAATGGTTGCTTCTCATTCTAAGCTGTCAAGGCAAACTTCCTACTTTAACCAAAACAACAAAACAACTCAAACTAGTAACAATGGACACTTCTAACTATTTGACCCGGAACAGTTCACTTAATCTCTCTAACTTTCAAATTTTCTCCTATGTAAAATGAAAGTAATGTCTACAGCAAGGACCAAATGAGAACAAATATTACAGTGTTTTTTGTAAGCCATAAAACTCTTATTTATTCCAAGACATTTAATAATCATTTAAAAAAAGATTTTATTTATTTATTTGATAGATCACAAGTAGGCAGAGAGGCAGGCGGGGGGCGGGGGAACAGGCTCCCTGCTGAGCAGAGAGCCTGACGTGGGGCTCGATCCCAGGACCCTGAGACCATGACCTGAGCCAAAGGCAGAGGCTTTAACCCACTGAGCCACCCAGGCGCCCCTATAATCATTAACTTTTAAAAAAAAAGTATGTTATTTATTTGACAGAGAAAGACAGAACACAAGCAAGGAGAGTGGGAGGGGGAGAAGCAGGCCTCCCGCTGAGCCAGGACCCTGATACGGGGCTCAATCCCAGGACCCTAGGGCCATAACCTGAGCTGAAGGCAAAGGCTTAACCATCTGAGCCACCCAGGGACCCCGATAATCACTGACTTTCAATGGGCATACATATATGGTAGTGCTGTTCAGGACAGTGGCCTGTGAGGTCATGAGGCTCACTGTCCTGTCTGCAGGCCAGAGAGCTCACGAATTGTTCCCATACAAACACACAACAGGGAGTGGCAGAAATCACGGAAGCCGGTGGCTTCCTCCGCCCCTCACAGACAGCAGACAGTCACCTGTGGACCTGTGGATCTCAGCAAATCATGGCTGAGGTGTAACTAAAAGCAGCTTCAGCCTCCAAAACAGAATGCTGGGTGCCGCACATGCTTCTGGACGTGAGGAGAATAAATGAGCCGTTAGGTTATCGCAGGGAATCCTCTGTACTTCACGCCCTGTGTGAAAACCTCATTTCTTATCCCTCGCTTGGGAAAAGAGACACTGCCACAAGCCTTGGTAAATGTTTCGCTACCCTCTGTAGCCAAATCCCAGGCTTGGGAAAAATCGGAGTATAAAATGGTCTGACTGCTGGGAAACAATATACACATGAAGACCTACTACCTACCTGTGAAAAGGAGAAAAGAACAGTCGCAGGGGACACCACACACATCTTCCTTCTTGCTATGCAAAGCACATGGCTTGGAGGAGAAAGTAAGGCTTTGTCAGACAGACCCAATTAGCCCGTCACTAGCACAGACTCTGCTGAGGGCATGAAAGGTGACATACACAAATCCCATGGCATACAGCAGGCACTCTAATTGTACCAAGTAATGACAGAGTTTCTACAGGGATGAGGTCACGCTAATCCTCATCTCCTCTCTCCATCTGACATTAAGCCATGGATAACATATGTTGCTGATTAAAGTTGGAGGAAATAGGACATGTGATCTTTAACCCAGAGGGACATGGATTAGTTTCTTGCTGATTTGTTTGTTTTTTCCTTTCTAAGCTGTATCTCCAGCACAGTTGAAAGCATCAGAATAAGGGTACAAAAAAAAAAAAAAAAGGATTTCTATTTAGCCTAGAGGCCAGTTCCCCCAGAAAGTCACCCTTTGTGGAAGGAATTTTTCTAATTTAATTTTGGGTGCATTCTGAAGGACAGAAACAACACTGGGAAGACAATAAAAGTTATAGTCAAAAACTAAATTCCCGTGACCCTTTCAAAAAGGGTTCTTTATAAAGCGATTCTAAACATCATAGGTACGTCTGGTTACTTTCTTCCACACTTTTCTGAAGGAACTTTGACAAAGGAGAAGTTCTTCTAAAGCTGACTCTGCAAATTCCTCAAGTCTCCTTTTGTTAATTCTCCGATCAGTTTTTTTTTTTCTTAAACCGGCAGTTAAATGGCCTGCCTGATACTTAGAGCTTGGACGGTATTCTCTGCCCTGCACAGCGGAGGGAAACTGCCCCAGGACATCAACACAGCAGCTGCTCGGTTTGTCTCACTGGGCCTCATTTTCATACTCTCCTTAGACCACGTGTGGCTCCTACTCTTTCTGCTTCGCACCATTCTAAAGCCTGTGTCGCCTGTGCAAGTGATCAGAGTCCGCGGAATGGTCGTGTGCCGCGAAACAAGACTATCACGTCTGTGGTTTTAGAAAGTGAACTGACCGCGGTGGGAAACGTAGACTGGAGGGGCCAGACTGAGGCAGGGATGACAAGAGGACAACCGCGAGAGCCACACTGAGAAGTGACAGAAATGGACACGGTGCAGCAGGGAGAGAAGAGAGAACAAGGGAAGACAGAAGCAACGGAACCTAGGGACTGAGTGTGTAGACCAAAGGCAGAGGATGACTTCCAGGTTTCTGGCTTAGAAGACTGGGCCAGGAGGCTGAGAGAGCACGGGAGGAAGGGCACATGTGCTCCGTGAACCAAGAACAGAAACGGGGGAGCAGGGCTGCAGGGCGGGAGTCAGGGAGGAGAAATTCTGCCCGAGCCGTGGTGAGTCTATTGTTTCCATGCAACATCTGGTTGGCAATAACCCCTACAGGAAACCAGTGGCCAGAACAGGGCAGGACATCAAGGGAGACAAAGAGCCGCTGAGATGCCCAAACCCCGAGAAAGAACTAAATTTCCTCTCATCTCTTACTTTCATCAAGTCCATACCAACTAGGATCAAACTGGTGAGGCCCCCTTCTCTCACGAAATGGGGGTAGTCGGGCCATCTTTTCAAGAAATGGCACGTCCTGCCTTGTCTGTTCTCCACCTTTATCACCCTTCCTCCCTCTCAGGCCCAGAAACCAGCCCCTCACGCTCAGGCCGTCTTCACTCACCAGCTGGATCTCAACAGCAGTCATAGGCCTGTGATTCAACAGCTGAAGCTTTTCAGCTCTGTCAAAAGAAAAGTACAAAGAATTTAAAACTCTTATTCCCTTTAGAATCCTGACTCTTGACCAAACTGTTTAGAGAACGCCGTGTCAGATGACAAATGGGAGAACCCGCTGGAACGTGGCCTTCAGTTTCTTCAACTGTAAAATGAGAGAATGGGAACAGGAGAGCCTATGTCGGAGACTCTTGGAGGGTACAAGTGTGTATCAGAATTCTGACAACAAAAGAGATACTGACTAAAAGAAATGTAACAAATAGCAGAGGTGCAGTCTTAATACACTTTATCGGAAAAACATGAAGAAAATAACATTCTCTTAACCCAGATTCTAGAAAGATTATAAAACAATCTTGGTTGGTTGGTATCACTTAGAAATGGCTGAGAATTTGGGGCGCCTGGGTGGCTCAGTGGGTTGAGCCTCTGCCTTCGACTCAGGTCATGATCTCAGGGTCCTGGGATGGAGCCCCGCATCGGGCTCTCTGCCCAGCAGGGGGTCTGCTTCCTCCTCTCTCTCTGCCTGCCTCTGCCTGCTTGTGATCTCTGTCAAATAAATAAATAAAATCTTAAAAAAAAAAAGAAATGGCTGAGAATTCCTTTTTGAGATTAATATTAAACGTCAGATTTTGACTTATTATCTTAGAAAACAAAAACCAGAACAGGAAGGGGGCAGGGGCTAATGTACAGAGGCACAGGCGTAGTCCTCTACCCACACAGTTCACAGTCCAGCTGGGAAAGGAGACAAACACAAGCGAGTCTTAACAAACATGTCACAGCTGAAGGGAAGAATCTTCACCGGTCACAAGGCCACAGCGAGCTCACTGCCAGAGGGGTGGCTGAAATGTGCGGACTCTCACAGGTGACACAGGACTTAAAAGAAAAAAGAGCTCCAGTGACCACCCCTGCGTAGGTGACAATTTTGAAGTTTCATCTCTCATTCTGACCCGGGAGCTCCAGACTCCTCTTTCAGCTCAACTCAGCAAATATTTATTGAGCTTAAAGACATTCTGAAATGAACAGATGAATGAGCCACAGGCCCACAGCGGCTTTGGGGGAAGCAGCACATTAGCCAGCCGCCCTATGCCGGGGTCTCACCATCTGTACAACAGCAACGATAACAGAACTTGTATCTCACCAGGGGGTTCGGAGGGATGAACATCTTTCCGTTTATACTGCCCGCAGCTACCACTGTTGCTTACTTCCCATATGGCGAGCACACTGAGCGCTCCGACTTAACCGACACTGAGATGGTGAGTAACTTGCCCAAGGTTACACAGCTAGGAAATGGCAGAGCTGGGACTCGGCCATCAAAGCTCATGTTCTTAACCATCTGCTTCTAGTACTCAGTATTCAACACGATGACTGTCACACAGCTATGTCTCCACAAATGGCAGTCATTGGGGAGGCACTTGTAATTAAGTTCTACTCCTCATAATCCCCCAAACATTTCCTCTAGACTCAAAGACGACTTCACAGAGGAGGAAACCCTTGCACTGGGCCCTGAAGGATTTTCTAGGCAAAATGATTACAGGAAAGGGGAGTCAGGACCGGAACAGCCCGACTAAATGGCCAGAACAAAAATTACGGAGTTTTGGGAAACAGCTGCATGAGAGGCTGTGGGACCTGAGGCTGGGTCATCAGAACAAGACCACACGGGCTCCAACCGCAGGGCTGCAGTGACTCTGCGGACACCAGAAAGCAACCGAGGAAAGACGTGACATGCTCTCAGGTGAGAAGAAATGAGGCAGGGCTGGCAATGAGACTGCACAGTGAAGCGCTCCTGGCCACCCCGCGGTATAGTCAACAGGACCTAACAACCGCATCAGTGGGGCGGGGACAGGCGAAGGAAAGAGAAGAGTCAGGGTTCAATGTCAGGCTTTTAGGCTGTTTGGGAAAAATTTATTATTTGAAATCGGAGTTCGAGTTTGTGGTGGTTTCGGAACAAGAAGAACTCTGTCCAGCCACCTGTCTAGTTTCAGGTCTAGTGCGACCAGCAGACTGGACGTATCAGCAAGGAGTCACACGAAACAACGGGAGTGTACCACGGTCCACACCAACTACACAGCAAGTGAAGACCAGGACAGGGGGCGGGGGGAGCAGGTTGACAGTCAGAAGTCACCGGATTTGCCAAAACAGAGGGCACCAGTGGCCTGTGCAAGTAGTTTGGTAGAATGACAGTGGTGGGGACAACTGGATTGTGGGGACTAAGGATTAACTGTGGAGAAATTAACCTTTACTTTTCCTGTAATGCAGTATCACTGCTTTATTAAGACCTTAAAACAGACTCTATTCTACATTTTGAGTATAAAAAAATCCACAAGTGCGCCACAGTGCAAACAGAAACATACAACAGAGGATTTCCATAATAATCAATGGTACAGCCAAAAGCATCACACGTACAGAACCCAACATTTACATGAACTGAAATTATAAAATAAAATAAAACCCAATTTCGGAAAAGAAAAACCAAAGTACTAAGGATCCCGAAACATTCTTAGCTCTAATGAGATTTCACTGGACTCAAATCACTTGGAGGTGAGGCATTCACAATATGACCCCATTAACCCTGCTTGGGAATTCTTAGGAGCCATGAGTGGCTGCATCGGGCAGGCTGACAAAAAATGGCAACCAGATTTTGATCTGAAAACTCCCCTTTATTTGGCTCTAAAGTTATCAGGCTTTTGAAAGGCATCTTCCTCACTGCCCCTCATATTTTTTTTTTTTTTTAAGATTTTATTTACTTGACACACAGAGAGATCACAAGCAGGCAGAGATGCAGGCAGAGAGAGAGGGGGAAGCAGGCTCCCTGCAGAGCAGAGAACGCGATGCAGGGCTGGATCCCAGGACCCTGGAATCGTCACCTGAGCCGAAGGCAGAGGTTTAACCCACTGAGCCACCCAGGCGCCCTGCCCCTCAGATTTTAAACAGTTTGCTTTCAGTACAGTTTGTATTGATGTTCTTTGTTCAAACCAACCTCTGTTTTCCCAGCACCAAAGCAAATTTAGGTTTGGCCCGTGTCTAGTAAAACAACCTGTGAGGGAGGTCCAAGAGGCAGATGCAAAAGCAAAAGCAATGGGGTCTGTGCTTAGGGTACAGAAGGGGTTTCAGAGACTCCCTGTGAAAGTCGAGCTCAAAGACGGCGCGTGGGGAGATGTGAGGTGAGAAGGCAGTCAGTCCGGCTGGCCTGTCCTGCAACTCGGACTCAAGGGGAAACGGCAGGAGGAACAGAAGACTAGGCCTGATGGTGGGACACGCAAAGGACCGAAAGGCAAAGGCAGACACCTGAAGCATTTTACTTCCGACGTGCACCGTAGGTCAAAGACTTAGAGGAAGTAAAGGCCAAGCAGAATGACTCGACAACTTTAATTCTCGGAGGGCGAACGTTCCCTCCAAGCCTGATTTGATAATTTCACGACGGAAAGCCAAGACCAGCGTGGCACAGCACGGCTCCGCAGGAATTTAAGGATGACCCTCGGGGCTATTTCGCCGACGTGGTTTCATGGACGCTGCCTCCCCCGCATCAAAATGCTTCGGGGAGACTCTGCCACCACAGCACGGTTTCTCAGTAAATCTGAAAAGTGCCCAAAGTCGGGCAGCAGAAAGACCCCGCAATGGGAGTCTGAAGCGCAGCGTGAGGCCGACAGGACGAAAGCAGGTGAGCTATGACAGTGCCAGAGGGATGTGACCTCTTTCCCAGCGCACTGGCAGTCTGTCCCTCACCAGATGCCGGAGCCGCCCCTCTACGCCACCCATGAAGAGGTTTCCTTTGCTCTGAGTTCGAAGGACAGTGGCTCCCTGCTGCACGCGGAGCAGCCCCGGGAAGGCGTGTGGCGGGTGGAGGAGGACCGCAGCCAGCGGCAGGCCCGGCCCTGCATGCGGCACCTGCAAAACACCCTCCCTCCGCGGGCACCGCTGTGCCAGGCACACAGATGGGACCAAGTGGACAAGCCGCAGGGACTGTGGAACCTAAAGCCCGTCTGGGTCCTGGGAAGACGCGGTGAGGCATGAGGGGACGTGGTAGGGACCGCGGCAGCCGTGGGTGCGCGAGGCTCAGACGACGGAGCTCTGAGTGGGCAGAAGGAGCATTAGTACGGGCAGCCTGAGGAGGACACAGGTCTGAGGGGACACCGGACGGCCACGAGGCTGCACAGGGTAGACTGGCCGTGCTCGACACTGACCTCTGCAGTTCACAGAGGTCACGGGTCTGGTTCTGCGCAGCATCACAGATCAAAATACCCTCCCGACAGGTAGAACTAAAAGAGCAGCGACAGCCTGGGGACGGCAGGTTCTGGAGGGACACTGCAGCATGGCTGCTGGGTGAGAGCTAAGCACAAGGAAAGACTGAAATTATAGGGGAGAAAGGGAGAAAGACCCTCAGAAAAACAGAAGTCCCACGTTTCGGCAAAGAGGCTCATCATGTTCCACTGAGGCCACAGCACTGTCGGGGGGGGGGGCCAGATCTGAGGGGACCTGAAGGGAAAGGCCATTCATTCACTGGATAATTCTCAGTGAAGGAAGTGAAGTCACCATCTGAGAAGGCAGGAAGGACCCGGAATAAGACCAGCTGCAGGTGTGTTTGTCTTTGAGAGAGGGAAAAGGAGAAGCAGACTCCCCACTGAGCAAAGGGCCCAATGCTGGGCTCGATCCCAGGACCAAGAGATCTTTTTTTTTTTTTAAATTATTTGTTTATTTGTCGGAGAAAGAGCACAAGCAGGGAGAGTTGCAGAGGGAGAAGCAGACACCGTGCTGAGCAAGGAACCCAACAGGACTTAATACCAAGACCCTAAGACCTTGACCCGAGCCAAAGTTAGATGCTGAACTAACTGAGTCACCCAGGTGCCCCCAGCAAGCAGTTTTTGGTTTGTTTTGTTTTTAATATTTTATTTATTTGTTTCAGAGAGAGAGAGAGAGAGAACACAGGCATGACAAGGGGGAGGGTCAGCGGGAGAAGCAGATGCCCTGCCGAGCAGGAAGCCCAATGCAGAACTCCACCCTGGGACTCCAGGAT